ATCTTATCAGCTCTACTACGGTATTGAGCACTTTACTCATATATGATTCCAAACTCGATACTTGTCTATATATATATATATATATATATATATATATATATATATATATATATATATATATATATATATATATATATATATATATATATATAGGAATCATCAGGTGGTGAATAATTTCGAAATTGTAGGTTGCTTTTATGCTATCGAAAGAATGTGCGGAATGCGTGTAGGCGAAACAATGCTTAGGTGAAACAATGCATGCTTGGGTCATTAGGTTTTGTTAACGACCTTGTTTACTCGAAACCGGTTTTTGTGACGACATTTGCCGAAAATTTCGCTTCTTTTATTGAGTAAATTGTCTTTGTTTATGTCTTTCAAAATGCAAAATTTTTCTTCCAAACATAAATTGCAGCGTTTTGATCCCCCTGTGTACGAAATAGCGTGTTTTAAAACTGACCATTTGATGGTATAATCCTGATTGTTTTCTTTTAATTTCCAAATATGTTTCGAAAGTTCCGTTTTGTTTGAGTCTTTTTTATGACGAAAAGATGAAGTGTGGTTAGCGTAACGTTCCTTAAATGTAGTCGTTGTCATACCAATGTAGTGTTTAGTGTCGTTCGTGTTGTTCGTTGTGATTGTTGCTTTGTAAATAATGTTGTTGGTCATGCATTGTTTCGGTAGTGGGCAAGTGTTTTTGTTGTCGCAGTTACAGTTGTCAGTTTCCGTATTCTGTGATTGACTGTTCCTAATTATATGTGCGTTGTGTTTGGTGATTATAGACTTAACGTTGTTCATGCAACTGTAGCTTACTTTTAAAGTGTTTCTGTTAAAAATCTTGTGTAGTTTGTGCTGCAGCGGGAAGTGTTTGTCAATTAAACTTAAGAATTCCCGTCCTATGTTCGTGTTAACACTCTTACTAAATGGTGGGTTGAACCAAATTATGTTGCGTTGCCTATTCCTACGTGTCCGTTGCGGTGCATTCTCAGTGTACGTAAATTCATGATCGAAGTTACTATGTGTAAGAGCGTTCTGGTAAATAGGTGTGGATTCCTTAAATGTTTGTTCATCCGATGAGAGAAGTGCAATGCGTTTGTTGATAGCTGTAGGTAATTGTCTTGTAATGCTTGGTGGATGGTTTGAGTGTCTGTGGATGTACAATGGATCGTCATTGGGTTTCCTGTATGGTTTGTGTTTTGTGTTGATCAGGTCGAAAGTAACATCTAAAAAATTTACAACGTTCATATTTACTTCGGCGGTGATTTTAAGGTCAAATTGCTCGAAAATTTTATGTAGCTCTTTTCTAGTTTTGCCTAGTAAAAGGGCGGATTTGCTTTTTATAATAGCCAAACCATCATGTCTATAAAGTCCGATGTTTTCCTTGCCAAACCTCTTACCTAAGTGATTTAAAATGAAAAGGCCTAGCAGCTCACAAATTTCAGCGCCGTCGAAACTAGCCATAGTGACGTCAAACAAACTGTTGCTTCCGTCTTTTTTTGTCCATAATTTGCCGTTGCCGAAAAGTAGAGATTTTCTTGCATGTTTTATTATTGAAATATCGTTTTCGGTAATAGTAGTCAAATCCGAAGCCCAGGCCAATGCTTCATTTAAAAGTTTTACGGAAATAGATGGGTAAAAATCCACAATATCAAATGAAATAAAACTGTGCCTGTCTTTATCGTTTATATTGCCAAACCATGAAATTACTTGTTGCGTATTTCTCCATTGATTTGAATTTAGTTTTTGTCTCAAATTGGAATTAATTTTATCTAAAATAACCTTACTTAGTTTTCCGGATTCGCTTTTTGCGGGATTAAGGATTTGCGGGATTAAGGGTTTGCGGGATTAAGGAACGTTACGCTAACCACACTTCATCTTTTCGTCATAAAAAAGACTCAAACAAAACGGAACTTTCGAAACATATTTGGAAATTAAAAGAAAACAATCAGGATTATACCATCAAATGGTCAATTTTAAAACACGCTATTTCGTACACAGGGGGATCAAAACGCTGCAATTTATGTTTGGAAGAAAAATTTTGCATTTTGAAAGACATAAACAAAGACAATTTACTCAATAAAAGAAGCGAAATTTTCGGCAAAATGTCGTCACAAAAACCGGTTTCGAGTAAACAAGGTCGTTAACAAAACCTAATGACCCAAGCATGCATTGTTTCACCTAAGCATTGTTTCGCCTACACGCATTCCGCACATTCTTTCGATAGCATAAAAGCAACCTACAATTTCGAAATTATTCACCACCTGATGATTCCTATACGGATGAAACAGACTGTTGTGGTTTTTTGAGGTAAAACGGAAAACTATATATATATATATATATATATATTTACCACGGCCCTTTGAAAAACAGGCAACTGAAAGGTTACCGTGGATAAATATGTTTAAATAATAATAATAATAATAATAATATAGTATATATATATATATATATATATATATATATATATATATATATATATATATATATATATATATATATATATATATATATATATATATATATACATGTTAGTTGTGTAATTATTATAAACGAGTATGTTTATGACATTCAGTATATATTTCATAATTTCCAGTCTTAAATCCATCTGACCGTGTAGCTCAGTAGGTAGAGCGTCGATCTAGTAATTCGAAGGTCGCGGGTTCGAGACCCAGCCGCGGCAGACAACATCTTTCTGCTTGCGCTGGGTATGGAAATTATATAATACACACTCTAGAACATTTTCATCTTAACATATTACAGAGTGTACAATTACACAACTAACATAACACTTGCAGAACTAGTATTGTTCGATGCTGAATTAATATAAACAAGTATGTTTATGACATTCAGTATATATTTCATAATTTCCAGTCTTAAATCCGTCTGACCGTGTAGCTCAGTAGGTAGAGCGTCGATCTAGTAACTCGAAAGTCGCGGGTTCGAGACCCAGCCGCGGCAGACAACATCTTTCTGCTTGCGCTGGGTATGGAAATTATATAATACACACTCCAGAACATTTTAATAAAGTGCTCAATACTAGTAAATAATAAGGTTCTCAAATAATAAAGTGCTCAACACTAGTATTATAGTAGAGCAAGATATATTTATATCTTAAAATTAATTATTGCTACTCAAGTGTCACGCCTTATTCAAGACGATCTTCAGGCAATTGCCTGAAGATCGTCTTGAATAAGGCGTGAAACTTGAGTAGCAATAATTAATTTTAAAATATAAATATATATATATATAAATATATATATATATATATAAATATATATATATATATATATATATATATATATATATATATATATATATATATATATATATATATATATATATATATTAATACTTAAAATGTTTTTGTTGCTACTCCGAGTTTCAAAAACTGTTGCCTGATGATTGCCTTTACGGCATGAAACTCGGAGTAGCAACAAAAACATTTTAAGTATTAATAAATCGCTCTATTTTGTAATATTGAGCACTCTTCACTACATATACGTTCAAAGAAACTGAATTATTTATATATATATATATATATATATATATATATATATATATATATATATATATATATATATATATATATATATATATATATAACTACAGACGGTACCGTTTCGGTACCGTATACGGTACCGTATATATATATAGCAGATTGTACTATTACGCTCCTTCACTTCGGTGTTGTTGAGCACTCTGCGGAGTTGTTAATGGATGTCTATTAGCGATAATGCAAAGCTCACTTCCCTTGTGGTCGTTTGAGCACTCTGGCTCCATTACGCTCTGCGCATGTCTGGATGCGTTGAGTCACCGTGTTGTACCACATGCCTTGGTGAGAGCAAGTATTGAGGACCAATAGTCCAGAAATGGTTACCCTTTATAAATAATGAGGACCAGTAGTCCAGAAATGGTTACCCTTTATTTCTTTACTCCGACTCCCATGATAAACATGTACGCAAAAAACTAGGGAAACTACGATTAGATAGAAACTAAAATACGTTAAATTTTTATGGGACACGATAAAAGGCGAGGATATAAGAGCGAGAGATTGAATTTGAGTAGCAAAGGCAATCCTCTTTATGTTACTCTGTGAGGCTATAATGCCCAAACTGAACAACAATAGTGAAGTTTGATGCTTGTGATGTTACTCTGAGTGTATATCCACACCGGGCAAGCTTGAAAAATATGCCTGACCACGGTGGGAATCGAACCTACGACCTTTGGAATGCTAGCCCAATCTGACCGCGTAGCTCAGTTGGCAGAGCATTGGGCTAGCATTCCAAAGGTCGTAGGTTCGATTCCCACCGTGATCAGGCATATTTTCAAGCTTGCCCGGTGTGGATATACACTCAGAGTAACATCACAAGCATCATATTCACCTGAGTACATTACACCAACACAGTAAAAATAGTGAAGAACTAAAACAATAATAATGTTTATTAAAACCTCACGGTTGAATAAGTGACGTAATCGACTCTATTTATTTGTGACATTTTGTTCATACAAGGTCAATACGACTGTTGTCACATGATTATCATGAGACATGCATAAGATAAGGTCACAAGATTATCATAAGTCATGCGTGTGTTCCACGTAATACCAAGATCCTTTGCGATTTGCTTCTTAAACTCTTTGTCCATCAGGGTAAACTATACATCATGAGGTAAGCGTGAAAGCGACATAATGACGTCTGTGAGGCACCCTAAACTGATTGTCAACTTGACAATATTATCCAAGAAGTGCTCCAATGGTACCAATCTGCAGGGTTGATATGCTTGTTCAAGGGTCATGTAGAGAGCAAGGCCTAATTGTTGTTCAAATGTCATGTAAGGATCTTTGATTCTCTAAGAAGTGTATTCAATCACTTATGTACAGCAAATGTGATTTCCAACCTCGGCCGTCCTCGTTCTTCTTTTCTATGTTCTATACTTATAGACGACTGCATGCGTAAGTTGTATCCTTGACAGTTCTCATAATTGTCGTCTTCCACATTGTTGGATCAAAATTCAATTTCTTCACGCAGTGTGCACTCAAGCTACTTCGAAGAATCTCGATATCTTGAGAAGAACTCAGTACATCAAGCAACTCTATCGCTGCATACGCCATCTTTTCATTTTCAACGAGTGAGAGATACCCATGCATGGAACTCTGTCCCATAAAGGTATTGTAAACTCCTATTCCAGTTTCACTTTTGAACCTGTGCTCTCGTCCACAACACTATTGTATCACCTTAGTACTTCTCTTTCCTTCGAATATTATACTATTGCACTTAGCTTCCTTTCGACTGCGATGAAACAAAATCGACTAATTTGATTATCGTACTTTCGACATGGATTATCTTTTTTTCTAACTTCGTTTATCGTGTTTTCGACTTCGATTCGAACATATTTGACTTCAAATACAACTATGCTCAACTTCGATTTGAATTTTTGTTTTCGTCCTTTTGTCCGAAACGCCATATGCACGTGTCATAATAAACAGCAGATTTGAATATTATTATACCTATTTCATGTGAAAGTGATAACTTTATCTCTATAAAATTCTATTTATAAACTAGATTCTGCTAAAAATACAAGCGGATGTATCTAAAGATCTTTGTTGGATTAACATTAGTATACCAGACAATGGAAAAAGATGAAAGTTCGCAGGGCAGTACACGCCATCTGCGACAAGATGAACACAAGATGAACTCTCATGACGCAAATACTCATAACAATTCTACAAGTGAAACGGAATGTTTACGAACACACAACATTACCTACAAACTTAAGGCGGTATCCATACGAGAACAACGAAAACGAAATTTATCAGAACTATATTACGATTCGTCATCGAAAATTGTGAGAAAGGAACAACGGGATGTTAATTTGGAGAGGGAGAAAAAAGGAAAGAGAACTGATGGTACTGAAGCTGGAAACAGAAAGCAGAATTTACTTCAGCAATTATTGAAGAAAGACAAAGATGGAGATACGTATGTATATTATGTTGTTCGACAGACTTGTAGTTAAATATTATCGCATTATCTACTAACAGGTATATAGACATTCCTCTTACATCAGACAAGTTATTTGCATACATGCAGGGCCACGACCATTTTCGATTTTAGATATCCAGTTTCATTTTCAGAGATATAGATACTGAAAATAGTTGTCTTTTGAAAATAGGAGTCTTTTTCATAGTTTTTGTCTAGTTTATTGTAGTTATTTTGGTCATTGCACGGGCCCCAATTTTAGAGAAATATTTTATACGTGATCCTTATAATTACAATACCGTAATATTAGTCTATTAATAGAATATGGACGTGCTTATAATTTGATATCACAATACAAAAAAATACAGGATGGATTATTACAGATTTTAAGAGTTGAGCTCGGATTCAAAAACTAGTTTACACACTTCCGAAATTAAATCGATTCCGAAATTAATATGTCCACATGCAACCTCGTTCCCATGGCATAAGTTACATGTTATCATGGAACGTGGAAATGAGTGGCCAAATATACCATTTCACATGCAAAAAGATGTGCATTCCGGAGTTATATTCCTGTTGTCAAGAGCAGAGAAAGAACAAAAAATTAAAGAAAAAAGTAACATAATAGTTGATAGGATCACGAAGCCTCGTTCTAAGACTAAGATATTGTTCACGGTAATTCAACGGTCAGTCGTTGAGGGACAGCTTATTTACGATCAGAACTGGTTAATAATGACATACAAAATCTAATCATTTATCCATCTACATGTGTTATGTGGGAGGAAAATTTAAACAAAATATTAGTTGTATTTTGAAAAACAACAGATGTTCAGCACGTGTAGGGACATTGAATTAGTCATAACAAATGAAACTCCCTTAATATGAAATTACATCAAATGAAAAATATGTTCATTAGTTTAAACACGACAAGCCAATGTTTTAGATATGATAAAGTACGGATTGCGAGTTTGAAAATCAACGTTGTCTAAGCCGAGAAAATCAAATTTAAAGTTTAATTTAGAGAAAATCAAATTTAAAGTTTTGAACTTTTTCGTATTGTGATACATTATACTGATACATTATACTCAACACGTCTGCATGTCATTGAAAGTTATCAAAATACCACTACGAAATTCCCCACTATATGATATATGTATAATGTAGGTAAGTAAGTAAGTAAGTAAGTACAGAGCCAAGCTGAATTACGACTTACGAGGGACGCAGCTCAACCTGATCGAGTCGAATGCTTTCTAAGGGCGCCTATGGCAGCCACTTTATGACTCATGTCTGATCACGGAGTACAGCTACGGTGGAAGGGTCAGTTAGGGAGATTATCCCAACCCACCCTGTCGAATATTCCCTGTGGGAGGAAACCGGAGTACCCGGAGAAAATCCAGGTGAAATTAAGGCGCTTGCTCTGACGAATGTGCTTTATCTTTAGTATTCTCCATCTTTCAATTGTTCATCACGACGTAAAAAGAAGCAAAACCGTAATAGAAATAATGAGTGGGGAATCGCTGGACGTTGTTAACAAGTTACAACAGGTTTGTGAGCACAACGTTGCCTGAATTATCTTAAATTAAAAGATAGTATAACTTTATATACCCACAATCATATTTGTAAAATTGAACTCTGTGTGGATGGTACAGTAACCAGGCCTGATTCAAGATGGCGCCCTTCAGTTGTTACGAATTAAAGTTAGATTGCTAGATTTTTATAAAATAAATTAACCCCAACCCTAGAAATCAAAATTAGTAAGGAAAAGGAGTAGAGCTGTGTGGTTCCAAAAAAATTATCTCGGTTTCGGTTCCGTCTTTTTTGGAACAGAAAAACCTCGGTTCGGTTCTTCTCAAAAAAGAACAGTGCAAATGTATGAACTCATTTATGTATGTTTCGAGCAATTTTACTAAATAGATGAATTTATGCCTTAAATTGTAAGTTTGTATAAATCTCTGAATATTTTAAAAGAACAATCCATTTGGAATTTATTTATGAACATAAAATATTTCTTTTTTAAAAAAATTTAAAGCAACTGCACAACAATAACTATTACAACTACATAAAATATCAACTATTTGAGCACTTTGTACAGTGCATATTGTGCACAAAGAGCACAATCTTGTTATTTTCCATTCAATTCAACCTGCAATCAGGTGGGCGTTTCGCCGGCGTTAAACGGGAAATTAAAACCGAAACTACCGGTTCTTTTGCGTATAATTTTTCGGTGCTAAAAAAAGAATCGGAAGGACCGAATTTTTCGATTAACCGCACAGCTCTAAAAAGGAGAAACAACGAAGAAGACCTGTAGGGATTCGAACTATATGTGATCGAGCAAGCAAACACATTGACCGATTAGTTTGTTGATTAGATTTTGTTTACATTACGGACTCTACAGGGCTTGCGGAGGAGGCAGGGACTCTACAGCATCTGAAAGTAAAAGACCCTGACAAAAGATAAAATACACAACAGTCGTCAGTGTGTATTACTTCGGGGACGGAAAAAAATCGAAAATTCAATACCTCGGGGACGGAAAAAATCGATGAAACAAAATAGCTGAAGACATTGCACGCCTCCTCTCCTAATTTGTCCTAATGAGCTATCTTAAGCTACTTTATTCACATTCAAATTGTAACACCGTTCTTACTTTTCCCCAACAGACACCTTTACATCTTTCTATTCTGACCTGTCAACCAATCTTAGTCGAATTCTTAATTTTCCATGGTGCCAGTGTAAATACGAGGGACAGAAATGGTCAAACGGCGCTACATCTTGCTTCGAAAAACGCAGATAGTGAATGTGTCAAAGCAATAAAACATGCAACAGAATCACCAAGATATTCTTCACATATTGTTGATGAAAAACCGGACTTAAACTTGAAAAATTTTGAAGGTATCTAACCAAAGCACAACTCATAAATATCTCACTGCTACATAATTAGTTACATTCCTTAACGAGGCAGCTCAATGGCGCATTGAGAAACGTTATAGTAGGATCACAGAAATATCTTTCCCACATATTTTCCAATTATTTCTACAACAGGTCAACTTTGATATCGTTTTAAATCGTATTATATTATAAATTTATAGATTGCAAAAGTAGCTTCCTTTACCTTTCCACGTCAACATCCTTTCAAGTGCACCTAACTCATTCCTGAGAAACTTTGAAATGATTTTGTAACTTATTTTGAAGATTTTCGTTCAACCGTTTGCACTCTTTGTCTCTGAATTATTTCAGTTTTATTGATATGCAAATGTCCGGAATTTACGTCACATATGAATAATGACTGATCAAAGAATGTAAGGTACAGTTAAATATCATGAAATAAAAAGGCTAAATGCTATGTAATCCTCCTACAACGCTTTTGCTTTAAATCATTATGCATTTGTGACGTAAATTCCGGATATTTGCATAAAGAATTGAGGTTAGGTGCACTTTCAATTTATTGCATCCTCTAGGGACTAGGGAGTATTCATTAATAGCATTGCTTCTTTTTTACAACTGATATTTAATGTGTACGACTATGTATTATAGGTAAAGCAGCATTTCATTTAGCAGCTTTATCTGGCAGTCAAGATATCGTGAAAACGTTGTTAGACATGAAAGCAGACATCAATATTCAGGTGGGATATGTGAATTTAGTTTATTTTACGAATTACTTATGAGTGAAAAAGTGGAGTGGAAAACCTAGATGACTTTAAATTTCATCACAATCAATCCGATCATAAAGAGTGACATGTGGCACTGCAGCCATTAAGCTGTTGCAAGTGACGTCACGACACATAATTCGACGTAATTGATTTGGTTTCACTATTTTGCGAGGCAAATATTTAAAGAAAAATAAGGGAGCATCCATTATTGAGTACGTACGAAAAAAACGTCCAAAATTGAAACCATCCCCATGGCTTTGTACGCAAAGAACAATAGAAATGGCGTCATTTAAATAATAGTCAAAGGCAAAAACTGCAAAATGTCTAATATGAATTGAACATGTTTAATATGAATTCAGAATGGTAATTTTCTGGCGAATCCAGACAGTGGTTTCCTTTGCTGTCCATAGTGGCCACCATTATTTTTCCAACGCGCGTGTTTCATAGCGTGACGTAATACTCCCGCGTGACTGCAAAACCTGAATAGCAACTTCCTACTTTTCTCACAGTGCACCACGGACATCGTGGGTACATTACGAGAATTTGATTGCTCAGTCAATCACCAGCCAATCACCTTTGGATAAGGCTGCATATAGGTTGTGTAGTATAAAACTATAAAAGCGCCAAGTGACGTATATCTGGCACTTTCAGGATTTTATTGCGTCGATCGTCAAAGCATATTTGAAATATCTTAAAATTTCATAACCTAAGTTGTTTTGTAAACAATTTATTTAGCTTATTTGAAAATCAAACCTTTCAAAAAAAATACATGGCCTTTAAACGAAGGTATAGCCCTAAGGTAACATGGCCTTTAATAGGATTAGTTCAGTGTGGGATAGTGAAGACTTGGAGATTTTTATTCTGATTCGTATTCTGAACACTGGCCACAGTCACCACAACTACATAATTGTATATCAATTATAGGATGGAACATGTGGAAGAACAGCATTACATCTTACCGTAGAATCGCACAATATAAATATGATCACTTTCTTATTGAAAAATGGCGCTAATGTGAACGCTACTACATTCTCGGGAAATACTGCATTACATTTGGCTAGCGGCCTAGGCATGGACCAGCTAGTTCATCTACTCATTCGGAATGGTGCAAATATAAACATTACAAACATTGAAGGTGACGCTCCATTGTATGCCAAGGTACGTTAGAGTTCACTGTAAAAACAGATTGGTTAAAATAACCAATTTGAATTGGTTGTCTCATATGCACTTATATTTAAACAGTTTTTTTATTGTGATGTTTGTGGTGTTACTCTGAGTGTGCATCCACACCGGAGAAGCTGAAAGGTTTGCCTGGCCACGGTGGGAATCGAACCCGCGACCTTTGGGATACCAGTCCAAAGCTCTACCAATTGAGCTACGCGGTTAAGTCGGTTCGAGTTGGTGATATTTCGGAACTGAGTCTTGTTCCTTCGATATCAATGATATTCTAAGATATGATAGGCTATATCTTAGAATAACATATCTTAGAATCATATCCACTGTAAGTATCATACTATATCTTAGAATGCCATTGATATCGAAGGAACAAGACTCAGTTTCGAAATATCACCAACTCGAACCGACTTGACCTCGTATAGCTCAGTTGGTAAAGCATTGGACTAGTATCCCAAAAGTCGCGGGTTGGTTCCCACCGTGGTCAGGCATACTTTTCAGCTTGTCCGGTGTGGGTGCACACTCATGCATAGTAACACCACAAACATCATATTCACCTGAGTACATAACACCAAAGTACATAACACCAACACACACATTTTTTATTGGTTAAATTAACCAATATTTTAACCAACTGTAATCAATTTCACCAAATAATATTGGTCAAAAGAAATTAATGCATCTGCCTGAGACAACCAATTCAACGTGGTCATTTCAACTAACCCGTTTTTACAGTATATATAATTGAAATACTGTATGACGTAGCTAGCGGTGTAGGCATGGATCAGATTGCTCAGCTGTTCGTTCAAAATGGTGCAGATGTAAACATATTAAATTAAGGTGATACATATGTACTTCATTGTGATGATTGTATCACCATTGTATACCAAGGTACGCTGGGCGTTAACTAAATAAATGTACAATGCAGGATGCACACTATACCGGTGAAATACGCAGTTAGCGAGTTAGCAACATTACATTTAAATGCAATATGGAATAACATTTCGTTTATTGTTAATTACGTTTTTACAACATCTAACGGTTTTCAATATCTGCAAGTGTTCATTCGAGGGTAGAGGTTTAAAATAGTGGAAATAACGCACATACGTTTTTTTCTGATTTAGATTGTGACAAATGCACAATGGAGACCACCAAGAAAATCTCAAATGAAGACAATGCAACAAACAACAAATCCTGCGTGCTCATCAAGGACTACGAACAAGAATGCCAAACTAGTGTCTCAAAGTGCAACCTTAACTTCACGCGTAAAGCTTTAGAAACAAAAATAGTTAGATATCACTCCTAAAAGTGTCTTGATAAAAAAAATCATGTTTAAACAAATGGGGTCTTCATTTACGTGCATATTTCGAATGAAAAATAAACACAGTATTGCTTAAAAGGTAGGGCTGCATCGCATGATACGATCAATCTTGTCAGAATCTACGACGAAATGTTAAATTAAACTTGATTTAACTATTAACCATAATATCGTGGAAAGGAAAGAATGACCAAAGCTAGTCGACATTCAACGAGTGGCCGTCTGAAATTCAGCTTTCTGCTATAGCTATATTACATTTCATCATACTTTATATAGAATAACTATGCATGTGCTTACCCAAGTGCGCAAATTGTATTGTTCGTTACACTGCATGGCGGCACAATATTCAAACTTTTTATCACAGAATGATACTTCGAAACCCTCATGCACGCGTTGGCAAGTGTAAGCCGTGCTTCTATGATCCAAAAAATCTGTAACAATTAACAGTGCAAAAATCTGTAACCGAAACTGATCTGATTACAGCATTGGGATCTAACGTTAACGGCCACAGATTGCTTCAAAACAAAACAAAACAAAACAAAACAAAACAAAACAAACATGGGGCAGCCGCGCTACAAAAGTAAAAGTTGAGTTCGGGTCGAAAAAAATTTTGATGATGGAAAAGACTCTAGTTTAAACAAGAGCTGCAAAACTTACATAGTTTTCAAAGCGTAAAATGTGATATAACAAAGCAGGAAAACTTGTCAAATTCAAGAGCAGGAAACTACAAATTGTCTCGAACACTTTTAGTTTTACGTACACGATTAATTAATACGTAATAGGATGGTTTCTGAAATTTGGATGAAACAAGCACTCGCGAGTTTTTCAAAGAATAAAAATCCAGACTCACAACACGTTTTAATTAGTATAAGGTAGTGGATAGCCTACAGTATATGTAGCCTCCTCCGCAAGCAGCTTGGTGGCCAAAGGCAGAATTACGCAATAGTTATAGGGAAAGTATGGGGGTAACAGGGGATCACGAGGGATAACCCATGATCGGGCTAGCCACAAAACAACGGAAAAAATTGCCCAATTACCATGGCAACACGGATTACCATCCTGGAAACTATATATACAAACTAGTAAGAATCTAAATTGAGTAGATTCGAAATATTGCATTTATTAGGCTTGGTTTCAATTTGGTCCTAGCTGTTACACCAAGTGAACGTCACTTGTTGACCGAACGTCGGTCAGCAGCTCAGGTAAGGTGACAGCTACTCGTTATTGAGAATTAGCCTGAGAAATCTGACCCATTAGGAACGAGAATGAAGTTCGGATGTATAACAAATATAACTATCAGCAGAGATATATATCGACACCCCTTTACATTGGCCACTTTGACATACTCGCACCGCCACAAGCAAACAGAAACCATGCTGACGAGTACATGTATATATAGAAATATTAAGCACTGACTTTATTATCTTGTTTTTCATACTTTACTCAGACTGGAGTTCCTTTCCATGGTATATTTTCCATTTTCCACTTTATAACATCATTATCTGAATGTTGTCTTATCTGTTCATCTCTCTGTTCATTGGATAAAAGTTGCGGTAGCTTATTTCCTTTAAATTCTACCACACCCATATCAGCAGAGTCAAATTTTCTTGGCGGAAGTCTATAAACTGCCGTATAATTATCCTCAGTATGTTGAAAACGTGGAAGTAGGTCACCAAAAACCTTTGGGATCATTTCTTTTCTCTATAACAATATATGACAAAGAATATTTTATACCAAGTGTCACAGTTCATTCTTGCATCTCATTGGACAAGAGCGTATCATGTAAGAATCACGATATTCGACTGTCTCCTAGCAAAAGCTCTGAGCAGTGGACATTACTGTACTTCATAACTTCAGTTGATAAAATCGTCGAGTAAAAAAGCAAAAATTTTTAAAACTTGGTGTATAATAATTACAAAAATATTTTTTGACTGGGACTTTCGGGAAACAGTATGTTTTGTGAACCCACGTTTGCGCCAATGTTTCCAGTCATGGCATTCGCAGGTCCACAAATCATACTCTTTGATCTTTCCTCCAGCCCAGTCAATGTGCAAAGTGGCCAAAATGGGCCTATTATTTAGTTTTACTCTTTCTGTCTATGACAAATCATGTCATATATGTGACGCAAGAATTAATCAGAGATTCAGAATACTTTCCCTATACCCATGATTGGAAATTGAGCCCACAAATGGACACCCAAGATGAGGTAGCCCATCCTTACTGAGCATGCGTGGATTGTTACATTACTAAATTAAACTGAAGATATCGTTGGCAAAGTCAATTTGAGGCTTTTTTATAAAGCATTCAAAGTAAAGCCAAAATGCTAAAACTAACTTACATTAATAAGTTCTTTGAATGTTTGCATGGCGATAAAATATAATTGTTTTTGTTTGTGGAAACACCACGTAAATTTATTACTGCAAAGCTTTCGATCCGTAAGCCCGGATCTTCATCAGTGCTAATAATATGAACATATTATTAGCACTGATGAAGATCCGGGCTTACGGATCGAAAGCTTTGCAGTAATAAATTTACGTGGTGTTTCCACAAACAAAAACAATTATAACTTACATTAATCTTACATTAATGCTAAAATTAACTTACATTAATCCAAGTATAAATTGTTGCTTCATCTCCTTGCTTTGCCAGATCTATCATCTTCAAAATGACACAAATATTATACTTAGCAGTTTTTCCAACTCTCATGAAAAGACAAACGTATTGCCAAATAGATTCACAACTAACTATGTAATATATTTCGAAAAGGTGGGTGAGGAAATGTCATGAAATAGTAATCTGGACGGTAGAATGAAAAAGAACATCCGAAACGATAATTCACTGAACCACGGAAAAACACTTCAGACTAACACTGTACTCTATAGATTGTGCTCTGAATGGAATTTTCTTAGCTTGCTTGATAATTACAAACAGTTATATATGCTTGATATTGCAATTGCAAACAATTCATAATTAACCTTTCTGACATGGGTCCATATCCGCCATTTTTGAGGTACGCACAACTATAGTTGCAATTCATGGTGTTTAACACACTCAGGCGCGCGCGGGAGAGGCAGTACCCAAAAGTGGTGGATAAGCATGAAAAAGGCTGAATTCAACTTTTCAGACAATCAGACAGATCTTATATGTAATAATATATTTTGAAAGTTCGGTACAGTATATTTGGAAATTAAAAGAAAATAAACAAGTCAGATATCAGTATAACTTCATGGTGTGTCTTAAAACACGTAGTTTCATACAAGGCCAAAAAATATTAAAAAATTATTAATGCATGGTCGAAACACTTTATACAGCTAATATATGCAGGGTGTCTAAAAAACAACGCTATGGAAATTCAACAGGCTGTCGTGCATCATAAACTTAGTTAAACAATTCAATTTTTACATAGGACGAAAGAGCTGTTATTTATCTTTTCTATGATACCTTTTTTAAACCGTAACGATGAGAAATGGCCACATACTCGTCAAATAAGAATTGCCGGTCGAGATCACATTCATCGTTACGACTTTCAAAAGGTATCATAGAAAAGCTATGTGAAAAATGTGAGACACCCTGTACAGATATGCCACATAAATGATAGAAGGATTTTGGGCATCTCACTCAATAAAACTAATTACTGAAGGGATTTATAGATGAAGGAGTTCCGTCTGCAGTCGTGAATAATGCAACTATAGGTATTGGCTCCCTGGCAGGAATCGAACCTGCGGCCCCGCAATTCTGGTGCAGCGCTCCTAACCAGTTGAGCTACATACAGAGAGAGACCGTTGTCGAGCTCTAAACACAAGTTCATGTATAAATATTAAGGTGATGCCAATTGATGTAAGGTGTATGGGTAAATATCAGGATTTTGGGTGTCTCACTCGATAGAACAAAATGTTGAAGAGATTTGTAGATGGAAATTTTGACTGGAATCGCAGTGCCGCAGCTTCGACTCCTGGCAGAGGGCCAAAAGTTGCATTTTTTGCAACTGCTGCTGGTTAGGTCTAATAAATTAATTGTACAAAAAATCCACTCAAAATTTCCATCATACAATAACATTCTAGCTAAAATTAAATTAGAATAATTTTGTTAAATTTAATTGACTAAATTAATACTAATTTTATGTTCTAATAAATATTATATAAATACAGAAGTTCTGCTAAAACCGGATTACACTGGATTACAGTCGATATTTTTACACAATTACTTTCATCGATAAACTGTCTTAGATATTCTTTTGCTGATGAACCAATGAAGAGATGGAATTGGAAGTTACTGCAGAAGTGCTTGAAGAAGACCCTAGTTCTCATATGAGGGTGGGAGCCGTGAATGGTCAATATGTATTCGTGTGAAATGTGAAATGATTGATTTTAATGTTGTGAAATGTGATTTGTTCTACAGCCGTGAAGCGTGATTGTCAATAAAAATGCTCCACAAAATGAGAAATAAGGAGATTAATGAGAAATATTACCAAGTGAATGAAACAAAGATATTAACTTCTTGTTTGCACCAGGCAGAACCAGAAGTGGACGAGTGGTAAATACATCAGCTTTGGATGCTTTGGATGTAAAATGATGAAACGTTTTAAAAACTTTGTACAATGTACATTGTAAGACTTGTAAGATATAATGTAGTTTTAACTGCCAGGCAGAGAAGTGAGAGAACTCAAAATGTAGATACTGTAGCATGCACTAAACATACCTTTAATAAACCTATTATTATTATATTATTTTTATCTGAATCTAGTTTTTAGTAAAATTTATGTGAAATTGCTTAGTTATTTAAGACACGTGAATTGTGAAACGGCTTTTTTTTCGTTGTGAAACGTGACCCATACCCCGCTTTCTCACCCTCTCATATTGCCAAATAAATTTTTTACAGCCCAAACTGATTGCGAGTGCCACTACATTGCATAATATTCCCAGTCAAAGGGCCAGGTGAGTTAGTTGGCTGTCCTTAAAATGTGCTTGGCTAGCTGGTTCGGTACACCCTTGATTATCTTCAGTAAACATACTCTACTTTTGAGTTTTTACAGGAATGGTGAATTAAAATGGCTTTTAACAGTTAACAGTTAATTAGTTCCACCCGAGAAATTACAAGACAAAGAAAAATTCCGCTCCGCGCGCAAAATTCCACCTAATGGAAAACCGGCTTTAGAAATGGATTACTTGTGAACTGCAGCTTGATGCTCATTATGTTTTGCTCATTTGACAGGTGACACCCGCATTTTGGAATCATCACCCACGTAAAAAATGGCACTTTAAAAATTCACCTGCATAATCAGATGAAAATTCTCCGTAGGAGATTTCGTAGGAACGGAGACTATGCTGAACTAGCCTTGCGCTTAAAACATGATCTCAAAGCACAGAATATATTCTCTAGAACGATAGAAGACACATTAATTATTATTTCTTTTGTTTAATTTCGACCGAACAGTTGCGACTTTACGAAACTTTGCAAAACTTTTATTTATTCCCTTTTTATGAAACTTCTAATTGAATATTCCCTCTTACAAAACTTTGCGAAACCTTTATTTAACCCTGTATTCTGTAACTTCACTCTTCACATTTACGCATTTAACCCTTTAAGTGGCAATGCGCCCAGATGCGTCCCACTTTATTATTTTACTCTGTCTAACACCAGACGATTTTACTCGTCAGGGGGAGAGTGCTGCCACTCAATGGGTTAAACAAGAACAGAAATGCTGTTCTCTTTTTGGCTACAAAATTAAGCCAATTGTTATTGGCATTGTGGTTGTTACAATGTTTCAGTATATTGGCATGTTATTTACAGTGTACAGGTATTCATTTAATTATCACCCGCAATTTAGGTACGATACTTCACATATCTGCATCGGGTTCACATATCTGCATCGTATGCTTGTTAAGGCTTTTAAGAGGACCTAAAACCCAACTGGTACATTTCCTGAAATCAATGTTAACTTGACAGTTTATTCAGAAACTCGTGCTGAAAACTCGTGCTGAAGTACTAATCCAATTGCTCTCATGCATTTAACCCATTAAGTTGCATTAATTACAGTGCCCTTTATTATTTGGATATTTTCTTGCATCATCAGAAAACGTACAAAAAACCTCATATGAGACTTGTAACAGCTTTTTTGATTCTTCAAATAGTCTTTGAGTTATTGCTGTTTTAAATGTGAAAATTGGACCAAAATGTCGCAATAAGGACTGGATACTAGGTCAAAAACGCATTTTGACAGTGTATAACTCAAAAACAATTTGAGATATAAAAGTGTTTAAATGTTTTGTATGTAGGTTTTTGTAAGCTTTCTGATGATGCAAGTCATTTTTGTTGTAATTGAATACAAAATTTCACATTTTCTTGCTGTAATACAATATTTTGGATGTGATATTTTTTCGGTCTTTTACATTCAAAAGATATACTTTTATGTTATGGCATACCTCAGATGTCACTGATCACCCATTTTCACGGTGTTGGGCAAGTTTTTTGCTTGGGAACTTTTTGTGGTAAATAATTGAGCATTTATGGTACTATGCATTGAACCACAGAAAATCTATTCCCCAGGGGGTTGCCACAAAATTGTTTTTCTAGGCACTTTTTTGCACAATGGCCCACGGCCTATATCAGAGTGTTTCATGCTCAAATTCGACTTCTACCAAGTTGTTGTTCAGAGACTCACGGTTAGAAAAAATGGCCGCTTTGTGGGGTTTTTATGTTCACAGTTTATTTTTAAAAGTCTATCTTAATTTTTTCTTCTTACATTTCTTCGACATTTAGGTGTTAAGGCTAAGGCATAAAAAAAAATACCTGTGGTTCCGGTTTCATATCGTGAAAAAATTAGGGTCGGTAGGTCGGCCGGAAATAAATTTTTTTTGAATACTTTTTTCATGGTTTTGGCGTTTTTTTGCTGGGCGATTTTCAGTAGAGTCCCGACATCAATGTTAACTAGAGATGCATATTTCCTATGGACAAATTTAGGCAATTTGGTTCAATAATTAGTGTGACAACAGATGCCTAATTTCCACTTCAGAAAATAAGCAGCAGATCGGACTGGATCGGAACAAAACAAAATCTGTGCATGTGCCATCAGTAGGAATTTTTGGTTCCGATTGATCCGGCGATGTTGCTGGCCGGATAATAAAAATTTTGGTCCAGTCCCACGGATAACCTGGTGACCAATCAAAATGCCATATTACCTCACAAAAATGAAAATAATTAAATAATACCTGTATAAAATTTACAAAATAGAGGATGTGAGACTGGAACAAGCTCCATTTTCTCCTTTTCCTGATCCAATCATTCCACTTGTCCTTGCACTGAAAATCACTTGTTGGAAAATTAAACCTCTAATCCGGTCCGCTGCTTAGGGACTGGTCATAAAGTAACTGCTAGGGTGGGCTGGAGGTAAATCACAAATTTTGCCAATACGTTCGGTGACCCATCTTAGGATGTAGATAAAAATTTCAAAGCCCATCTAATCTTACAAAATATTTTTCATGACCCACCCAATCTAAATTGGGAAAATACACTTTTATAATAAAAAAAAAACTTGCAGGTATGAACATTGTAAATATACACGGCAATGTATTGACATACATAATTCCACCAAGCTTGACCAACACATTGATACTGAGCTGCTCTCCAGTTGGTTGTATTTGCTGTGATTCGAGCACTTCTTGTTGTTGTATAAACAAAGTACTGGCTTCAATAGCATCATTTGAATTTGATAATTTGGATAGTTTTGTAATTAATACTTTATTTTTTGAAGTAGACATGCATGGGTTTTTGTTTGGTGGCCCAACCGTGGACATACAAAAAAATTGGCGGCCCATCGAAACTGACCAAAGATTTTCCATGGCCCATCCCAAATCACTCTAGCCCACCCTAGCAGTTACTTTATGACCGGTCTGGCAAGAATCGAGCCTGTGGCTCATAGAGTCCGGCCTCTGTAGCTCAGTTGGTTAGAGCATAGACAATCCAGAAGACATGTCTTCTGGATTGTCTATGGTTCGAGCCATGGGTGGATTTACTGGGAAGGTTAGGGGTGGTTAAACCCCTCCTAGAATCTCTCTCTATATAATTTAGGTTTTAAAATATAATTTATTTTTTAATCATGTAAGTAACTCGTAATTCAGATGCAAATGTTCTGCAATGAGTTCTTTAAAGGTGATCTACAGTCCGATCTGCGCATGTGCACAAATGAGCCCACTTTTTATGATACAAACAGTTTAACTATGTTTTGAGTTCTTGAAAAGCCTGATTGTTGTTTCTTGATCATTTATTATACTCTAGAAGCTTGAAAATATAAATAGTTGTCGAATAAAGCTCAATATTTTGGACACAAAAATGTAAACAAAGGCTTTGTTTACATACGGACTGTAGATCACCTTTAATAAACCATTACCATAACCCCTCTTATAAAGTGTTCAACCCCACCAAAATTTTTCTTCACCTCTCCTATTTTTGTGAAAGTCTAAAACCTTTCTAACCCCTGTCAAAGCTCGCTCAGAGGTGCCGCTTGCACCCACCAGACATTTTTCTACCCCTCCTTTAGCCTGCGAACAGGCTCTCAAGCTGAATTGAGAGCCTGCATCGACGACTAATGAATTTGAATATCTGCGTCTCAAATCGTGACGCGAAATTCTCATTGGTCAGATGCTATAATTTATATGTTTCCGCTGAGCTGTATATATGTCAACTGCTGAATCACTATGCATAAAAAACACATTAACTGATCAAATTGGTCTTGACCATCTTATCTCAAAGCACGAATTAATGTTCTGTTTTGAGAAAACAGTATTTAAAACATTTGAACTTTTGCTTCAATATCTAATTATATTTCGAAAAACAGTATAAACTGTACGCTCTAAATTTAGTTTGTACGGTCTAAATTTAGTTAGCACGAAAGTTGTAAACAACACCATATAAGGACAGACATTCCATATTTGGAAAAACGAACGTTACGGGGCAGATATTCAAATTCATTAGTCACCGATGCAGGCTCTCAATTCAGCTTGAGAGCCTGTGAGCAGGCTACCCCTCCTTTAAAAAAATGAAAAGTTCGCAGGTTCAATTCCTGCCAGAGGACCGATAGTTTCATGTTTTGCAAACTGCTCCTGGTTAGGTCTGATAAATGTATAAAATTTACACTCACAATTTCCATTTACAAAAACCTTCTACAATTAAAACGAAACTTGAAGCCACATTCTCATTTTCAGTTTTGCATAAAATATGAAAAGCAATATATTAAATTCACTTGCTTATTATTATTATTTTAATGTAATTGCATTTATATTGTAGAAGCAGTTGTCAAACGACTGTCTCCTTTTAAAATGACTCTATAATTTATATTTTTATACTATGCTACTCTTTATAAATAGAACACATTCCATTGTACAGAATGTGTTATATATTTCAACTTTCTGACATTAAATATTCAAGATTTCACTAAGCACTATCGTACAACAGCTGTCATGTAAACTCTCGCTTCTCAACTCTCATCAACTCTCATGTAAAATAACGCTTCTCAACTCTCATCAACTCTCATGTAAACTCTCGCTTCTCAACTCTCATCAACTCTCATGTAAACTCTCGCTTCTCAACTCTCATCAACTCTCATGTAAACTCTCGCTTCTCAACTCTCATCAACTCTCATGTAAACTCGCTTCTCAACTCTCATCAACTCTCATGCAAACTCTTGCTAACTGCACTAACCAAAAATTAACGATTCAAAAATTCTCATCAGTCCTCGTCTTTGACCTCTCGTTTCACAGAATTCAAGTCAAATTTCTGTCCTGTGATTCTTTCGTACAGTGATATGATGTCTGTACAGGTTGTTTCAAAATGGGTTGTGGCATCGTAAGACTTGGAAATGAATATCTAGGAATTAAAAGAGATGTAGATCAGGGATGGATCCAGCATGATCTGGTAGGGGGGGGGGGGTGATTTGGTGCCGACTGCCGAGTTGTGTCGGTCATGTATGCCGCACACCCATCAACTACTGTATTTGAATTGTAATTGTTGTTCACAGTTCACTTATCATCATGTTATTACTCAAATTACTGTATCTCATTTTGTCTTTTTTGCTTTATCATAAAAATAGCACCCCCCCCAGCCAGGGTTAGGGGGGTGTACCCCC